GCAAGAACATATAATAATGGCATGTTCCCTTGCCTCGTGTTTAGCGGCTGATGACCTTAACGTGATTGTGCGCTCGAATATAGTTTTTAGAGCTGCTGGATGCTGGGATGACAAAGGGCTTATGGCAGTCTACATTTATTAGGAGGTTTCCACCAGACGAAAGACACCAACGTGATTAGTCATTGTGTAACAAATGGTTATTGGTGAATTTTGTGAAAGCATTTCTTCATGTCTTTGTGTAGACCTTGGCTGGACAAGCTGGGTCCCTCATTCTGATCACAAGGTACGGTAACACATAGCTTGCGGTCACAAGTGTACTTGGGTTTGGCCGACACATGCCTACACATAGTTGTACTTAGCTTCAGGTTTCAGCCTAGGAGTTCTTCACCTTCCTAGATCGCGGGCCAGAAGGCGTCAATGTTCGCAAAATGGCTGGCCGACCCTAGAAATGGAGAAAAGCTTTGGCCTTTCAAGAGGTTCACGGAGACACTTTGCAGCTCCAGCCAGCAACATGGATCATGATCAAACTGAATGTTCGTGCTTTTTGCAAGGTCCCTTCATTGGAGGTGGACTCTGTAGTTGTCGCAGGCTTCCTTTCAGCGCAGGCAGGGCAGGGCCGCAAACACAGGTTGAATCAATTGAGAGATATTGAGAGCATTAAAGCAGGACTTACGTAGGTGAGGTAGGAGCTTTGGTGACACAGCGGGCCACCTGGTCCATCATTTTTCCCGCTGTGTTATGCTATGTTACTATGTTCTTTGCCCTGCTAGGCTTTTCTCAACATCAACCACCGCTGGTTGGAGGCAGTGCCTTGGTGTGTGTGTGTTCCTTCGCGGAAGTCATTTTTTGCATGATTGCGTATGTTGGTGAGAGAAAGGGGTGATATTTAAGCTTGGCAGATCGGCACTAAGTCAGGTTGAGCTAGAATATGTTCAACCTTATTTAATATCACTTCTTCTGTGACACGTCAAGTTTGAGGGCTTGTGTTCTAATGGATGGTGTTCTCCGCTGTCTGTTGCAGGACACACTCACATCAGGCCTCTGCGGAAAAGTTTAGCGCGGAACCGGGATGTAACATGGGAAAAGACAAAGTTTGCTGCGAAAGTTCCGCAACAGTTTGCCACAGTCGTTGTATGTGGGCATGGAACCGATAGGGTTTAATGCATCAAATGAAGTGTGTCGTGTTTCATCTTCGACGTTTGGATGAACCACTTGACCAGGTGACACTGGGCGCTTGGGAGTTGGAGAGGTTGGCCGTTTCCGGCTTGAATGAAAAGCAAGACCCCGAACACCAGCAGGTCCAGCTCAGAAGCAGATTTCCAGAATTTCCGGGCTCAGACGGTAAATGATGCAATCACTTCAATGCATATGCAGTAAAGTAGGCGTCCATTATTAGCCGTCAGCCCTCAGCTAGTCAGCTCTTTCAGCACTGCGAGAGTCAGGTGGAACTCTTCGATGCTTTCGAAGCCAGACGGAGCAGTGAACACCTCGGGATAATTGACACAGAGGAACGAGAGCGTGCCCGTTCGCACTGACTGAGATCAATCCACGTGTCCTCATCAACCGTCAAGTTTTAGTTGTGCAGACAAAACATCGGCGATGAATTTCGACATGTTTCGACCACACCTGACCTGACCTGCCCTGCCCTATTTACTTGATGCGTCGGGTTCAAGGTGACAAGGAATTGGGCAGGGTGATAAACATCCTAGTGATCCCTCAACAGCAGACGCCTGGGCCTTTTGAGCTAAAGCGGGGTAAGGCACAGCCTCTTAAAAAGTTCTTCCCAAGTTCCAGGCTCCTGAAATTTCACAGTAACTACAGTAATTATATGGCTGCTATACAGTATAGCTGGGGTCAAAGGGAACATTGATATCCCAACAAGCCCTGCACCCTTACAAGATCTTACGCGCAGATAAACTGGTCAGGGTTGTGGTGGTTGCGATGGATTCTTCTTCGTTTTCTTCTTCGGTTGAGGCTACCGTGTGTCTTCCCAACCGAGAACAACCCGTCAGCTTTGAGCCAAATACTGTATGGGTTAGGAAGCATTCGTGACTTCGTAGTACTTAGTGTCTACACAATAAAATATGTATATATAACTTAATATATACCAAAACTTAAGTGAGTGCATACCTCATGCCTCAACTTCCTTGTGTTAGACACACAAAGTCCCCAAGATGGCTTTGTCATGCCTTGTCAGTCTTTTGTGACCGTCCTTTCGCTGCAAAGGTCTTGCTTGAGGGAGGCAGCCGAGGCTCCGAGCCAACCAATATAGCCCAGGTACTGTACCCCAGCATCTCCAGAGATGGCCTCCCCGCTTGATAACAAGAAAGGAGTTCCCCATCCTTGCTACTTCTCCCACGCTGACTTATATGCTGCAGCTGTGCTCTTTGCCTTGTTTCCTTCTGCTCGTCTAGCCATTCCTGGACCTTCATCTGAACGTCCAGGCTTCCTGGCTCCTCTGCAATGTCTTGCACCACCTTCTCAGCCAAGACGACCTCAGCCCTCCTTCTGCCTCCTGCCTTTTTTGTTTGGCCTCAGCCACCTTGAAGATTCCTGTCTCGTCTTCGCGCCTGATGAGCACCCAGTGATCCTGGTCACCGGACTTCTTCAGCTTGATCTGCTGTTTCAGGGACCTTCCAGTTTCAGGTCCAAACAATTCTGCACTGGTCGCTTCTGGAACATGGTTGGCTCGTCCCAAACACCTGAGGAGCCCCCTCACCAACCATTGCAAGGTCTGAGCAACCAACTATAGTATAGGACAGCTCCCATGCGAACCAGCGACGAACACCCACTTCACACATTCGCCCAAGCTTGTCCAAAAATGGCCCATCCTAAAAAACTCACGGGGCCACGGGGCACCCTGCATAGCATTGAACGACATCCAGTCTTCCAGGTGCGATCTCTACCGTTGCCATCGTGCGATGAAGGCTCTCACTCAACCCACCATGGCGATGGCTCCGTCTGGAACTGTCCGTTCCCACAACCAGCCCTCAGCGTCCCACACCATGGCGCAAAGCCATCCTGCAGGGGGTCTCGGTCCAGAAAGTCTCGCCATTCTGCTGTGTTTCAAAAGTCAACATTATCCGCTAGCTGTGGCGTGTAAGGGTCTTGAAATTGAGGGGCCAGGACCAAATGGCATTGACATGCATTGACCTTAGTTAGGATTCAGTGTTCATCCGCATGCCCGCTGCCGCATGGCTTTCTCATGCTGGGAGCCAATCTCACCACTGCGTGAATCGCCCACCTCGAAGAAAGAAAAGACCATGGGAGGGGGGGAGGTGGATGTGGGTCGGTTGACTTGGGATGAGGCCGCGTTTGATCGCAAAGGCTCGAAATTCGCAAAGACAAGTCGTTGCGAACCAAACTCCTTGGTTCGGGGGAACTGCTCTTGTGACCCAGGATTGGTCGTTGAAGCGCCCAACACCCAGTGTGTAATGGATCGCAAGGATTCTGCAGATGCAGCTGACTCAACATGTCACGGTAGTGACTGTGAGGTTGAGAAAGGCAATGCCTGCTCTGCACATTGGAATGGGTTGTGCTTCTAGCGGTGGAGACAGAACAGATTGATCCTCGGGTTGCGCCAATGCCCTGCACTTGGATCACGCTTGTTTCGTCTGGCCGTGGCCATTGACAAAAACAGTGTCCGGGTAATTTGGATTGTGGGTGTGCTCCGAGCAGCTTGGCTGCGGTGCTGTGTTTTGAGAAAACACTGTCCAGGGGCCTTGTCCGAGTCTCGCCATTTGCCCCTCGCAATGCTGCGGCTGGCACTTGACAAGCAGATTATCCTGAATTTGGGCGGCTGTATGCCTAATTAATTATGCCAGGGTAAATGGATACAATCATGACACAGCACTCAAATCTGGACCGCATCCATGTTTAGTCGGCATGAACGTGTTGCACCGTGAAAGTAGGTTTTGGAGGTTTGGTTTCAGCTTTTCAACAAGATCTTCGCTGCCCCCCGACATGACGTGACACGATGGTAACTTGCTGAAGCTTTTGAGGCATGGCCACCTGGCTCAGCGCGTGTGTCTCAGGTATTTCATGCATCAGGATGCATCAGGATTTTTTGTGAAAGACGTGTTCTTTCTACTGAGAAAAAGGAACGAAGAACAAGCGGTGTTTTTCAAGCGTTTTCCACAAGGCGACCGTCAGACATTGTTTGCTGAAAGACGCCACCACCACTCCAAATCGCAAAGGGGCTGCAACAAACTGAAACCGAGCACCCAACAATACCAGAGACAGATCGATCCATTTTGTGCTGTGTTTTGACGGGTTGACATGTGACATGTTCACGTTTCTGGCGTTCAGCGCAATTCCCATTACGGCCCAAGCCTCCGGCAAGCAGCTGTTTAGCAGTGTGCTTCGTGGCCTGGTTGAGAGTTACAGATTAGGTTGGAGGCCATCACTAGTAGGTTGGAGGCCGGAAGCACTAATAGCAAACATGTTGGATTTATTTGGTACCTGAAAAGGTGCCCGATGCTGTGGTGCGTTGATGTCCAGACTTCAGACCTTAGTGCATTTTTTGTCAAGGGAGACACAGAGAAATGAGAAAAGCATGTGCAAAGCAGGCCTGGCCACAGCGAGCATCCAAAGTTGCTCGCCAACTTGCCCCGAGGTCAAGATGGCCATTCGTCTCTTCTGCATAACTTTGTTGGCCATGGTTTGCCCAGCACTGGCTTGCCAGAGCACAGCTGAGTTTGACAATGTGACTAAGCTAAGCTGAGTCCCAGATCACTCAAGACACTGTATTCATGCATTGTACAGGTGAGGCATACGATTCATGCCAAAGAGATTAATATTATCATGCTTAATCAGTTCTATGTACATGAAGTGCTTCCAAATTTATGCTGGATGATGCCATGCTAAATGCATTTCATGTCGCGTATGGATTAGGACAATAATGGCAATGTTTGGTGGACAAGTTTTAGATTGAGCCTGAGGATGCTTATGTTCTATCTTTGTTGGGCGGCTCGATTGGCGGAATTGTGATCGCCCTTCTCATGGTGATCCTGGTTTCATTGCCATTGTGCTGTGGAGTTTTCAAGCTCTATGGCAAGGCACGGGGCGAACAAAATGATTCGGCCACCAGCAGCGTGAGCCAATTCACAGGTTAATCACGAAAGCCAGCCGATAGGCTAGGCTTGAGGTAGGGGAGCGAACGAAGTGAGTTGAAGGGGGTGTGGGGGGGTGGTCGCGAGGTGGAGAGGTGAACTCAGAGCCTGGTGGGGGAGAGCGAAAAAAAGAGTTGGCCACTTGGTAGTGAACATGAGCAGTTTTTTGGGTGTTGTGATGCCGGTGGTGTAATTGACAGCCAGTAGTGCATCATTAGCATCACGAGGGGCTCAGGAGGCAATGTAAACCGTTTTCTACCAGGGTGGGAGTTGATGTCAATGATAGGAAAGAGGGGACAACGGGACGCAAAAAGTGGTTGGAACTTCTCCAGAACAGGGAGATGTGCGCCGGGAGGTGAGCGTCTCTTAAGACTTAAGACATGTTGTGTGATCTGTGAGGAACCAGCATGCTGCGGGGAAGGTGGAAGACAGGCATAACGTAGGAGGACGTGGTAGGAAAAGAGCCTGTCAACTATACGCAAAAGGGCACCCCATATGGGGTGCGAGTTCGTGAATGCTGTGGTCCGTCGAGGGAAGGAAAGAGAACAAAATGCAGCGGGCAAGCTTTGAATTGCTTGGGGGTGCCCTTTTTTATGGTGAAGAGGCCTGTTGACCAGACGCAAAAGGGCACCCCATCTGGAGTGGGAGTTCATGTGCAAAATGGGCATAGCGGGGGAGGAGGTGATAGGAAAAGAGGTGGGGAGGTCACCAGGGCTCTCGGATAACCATATTGATATCTTTTACGGTGCCTGGCTTTCGTCCCCCTTCTCAGGTATATACATATTATGTATATATATATATATGATTATATATTTTCTATATAATTTTTTGATTATATAGAATCTACAGCATGCTTCTGGCTGGGCACCGCGCCAGGGTTATACAAGTCGTCCGTGCTTGTGTGAAGTCAAGTCATGCGTGAATGGTGTCCGGGCATGGTCCAGCGACATCAGGGCATCAACTGCATTAGGTATTGCGACATACTTCCAGAGGACTTGCTTCTGGCCAGCATGACTGTATATTGGAATATGAGAACAACATGGAGTCATGTAAGTCTAGCTCGCGCAGGGCTCCCGCAGGACTCGCGCAGGGCTCGCGCAGAACACCGTTTGAGCACCCCGTAAAAAACACAAAATCCTTACATGAGAAATCGGTTGGCTCCTGTCTTCCGAAGTGGTGCTTCACTGCGTTCCCTATGCAATGCGACTGCGAAGGGTACATGTTAGAGCGGTGCCCCGTGTTTTACATATTAGATATTTTGAATGATATTTTGCTAAGCCGTGTCCCATGGAGAAGACAAACAGAAGTTTGTCGTCCTGTCTGTCCAACTTTACGCGGACATGAGTGACTTTACAGACAGCCCCACCGCCACGTATTGTGTACAGTAGTTTCCTGTCAAGTGATGTACTGGCAGCACAGGACCCAGGAGACAAGCAAACGCGGACAGTTACTTCCAGGAAGGTTCTTAACTCCCCTCATTCTAATAGAGGGTCTGTCAAGATGACATTTAAACCGGATGTTCGTGAGGTTGTTCCAGAAGTTGGCCATGCCGTAAGAATGTGCAGCAAAACACTAGTCACCGCAAGCCTGCCCACAGTGTTTTTTGGTAATGACGGCTGGCCACATTGGAGCTACCTTGGCAGTAAGTGAAACGTAAGGCAAGCCTGGCACACCACCATAGACGCCGTAGCCAGCAAAGGATAGAAAAAACTGTATGAAGGGAATTCTCGGCAATACAGTGCTGCAGATAGTTCTGATCACTGCTCACACCCAGCTAAATGCTTCTGAAATGGGACCCAGACTTAGATGTATGGTATTTTATACATGTATATGATGTCACGGCCACGTAGGTTAAGACGAACTAGGTGTAATGACTTCTTTCGTAGGGTTTGGGCTCACAGCAGATGGGCCTCTGCCGAGACTGCGGCCTATCGTCCGGCGAGGAGGTCACCTGCGTGTTTTGCCGGGTGCGCAATAGGTGGTGGGCGGTGCTGGACGACCTTCCCGTTCAGCTGCGTGGCTGGGCAGTCTCGACTGTCCGTATCTGGACTGGCATCTTGCAGGAAGAAGCCGAGAAGTTCCAGGAAGCTGTACGCCAGCGAGAGGAAGCCGAAAGCACCGCTGCCCCGAAGAGCGCAAGCCTGGCAGTGCATACTCCTAAGGAGGGGAGTGAGGCCGGAGGAGAAAGGGAACGCCCAGATAAAAGCTGGATCGATCCGAAGAAGGAGAAGGACAGCAACAAAAGCCCAAAAGGAGCACCCGGTGTGGTAGAGCTCAGCCCAGTTGAAGAGGAAGGAAAGACATCAAGTGCATCAAAGCCCGCAAAAGAGGAACGCAAAGCTTCAAGGAAGAGGAGCAGGAGTGACAGGCGCAGAGAAAGGTCAAAGAGCAGGAGGTCAAGGAGAGACCGATCGAGGAGTCGAAGATCAAGACACAAGGAAAGGAGAAGCAGGTCCAGGCGAGATCATCGAGGAGAAAAGAAAGAAGAAGGTGGAGGCAAGGAGCGCAAGGCAAAGCCGTCGGTAAAGCCGCCTAAGACTCCATCGAGATCACCACCAAGAGCAAGGGGAGGACCACCTCCTAAGGAGCCACCAGTGAGACGTGGAGGACCACCTGATCCAGTAGCCCGTCCAACAGGCCAAAACTGGAGTGGACCGATCAAGGCGTGGCAACGTGCGCCCCAATACTGGGGAGTGAACAAGGGTCAAAAGAAGAAAGAAAACCAATACTACTACCGCAGGTAGTGGTAGTGGGTTCGAAGATCTTCAATGGCCTTGAGGAGACCTGCTGCACGAGCTCGTGCGGCTGAAGTGGAGAGAGAAGAGCCTCCTAGAAGAAGGGGAGGAGAAGTCAGGCGACGGCCTGCGAGGGCAGACCCGAGAGAGGGCGAGAGAGGAGAGCCGGCCCCGGTGGCTGGAGAAGGAAGAAAAGAGGAGGTTGGGAAGACCTTTGAGGAAGGCGCACTGGTACCATGCCATCAAGTGCCTCGAAGTACTACGGAGGCAGCTACCCGTGGAGGCGAGTGGCACTTACTGGGGGCAGAGTGGAGGTTGGTGCAGGGCGTCCACGTGAGGAGCAAGGAAGACGTGGAGGTCGAAGTGGTCGTCCAGGGGACCAATCTGGAACCCATCTTGAAGTGGGCCTCAGGGTCCGAAGACAAGGTGATGAGGATTCACATGTGCGGGGCGAAGTGCGCGAAGACCTGCCGTGGATGATGAACCTGGTAGCCGAGGCCGGAGAAAGGAGGCGGGAGCCATCCGTGAAACCTCCTGTAGAAAAGGGGAGGAAAGAGGAGAAAGAGAAGAAGAAAGAACAGGATCGAGGAAGAAGCAAAGAGAAGGACCGCAGCCGAAAGCCGAAGAGGCGCAAGAGCAGCGGGAGTGCCTCCAAGGAGAGCAGAGGAAAGAAGAAGATCTCCTTGAGAGGGGAGGTCAAGAAGGGGTTGAAGGCGGTGTTCGGAGGCACAGGGGTCGGACCCCCGCTTCCGCCGAAAGTTCGCCGCCAGCCAAGAGGGTGAAGAAGAGGGGGAATACCTCCTCAGGCACCAGTTCAGACAGCAAGAGCGAGGACAGCAGCGAGAAGAGCGTGGAGCTATTCGGAGAAGAGCAGAAGATTCGCCGAATGGGGCGAGCAGCGCCAGGGGCATTGACCTGTGCTGCCTTCCGCGACATCCAGAACTCCCTGTTGACAGGAACGGGGGGAGTATGGAACCCCGAGGAAGGGGTGATCCCACCGATAGCCTGCCAATACTATCGCCAGTGCATGCAACAGAGGCTGCAAGGAGGACAGGCCCGGGAAGCGCTGACAGTGGCGTGGACTTTGGACCTCCTACTTCAGGGGAGGGTGTCAGAGGCGTGCGACACGCTGACCCAGAGATTCAAGAGCTTAGAGATGAGTGGGGCCGGAGCTTCGTGGGCCATCTCTCAGAAGGTGGAACTGGCGCCGCCCGAGAAACCGGTCTTGAGCTCCCGTCCAGAGATGAGGGAGGCGATACGAGAAAATCGCGAAGAACAGAAGACCAGACCAGGAGCGAGGCCGCCCGGCCGAAAGGAAAAGGCGATTCGGGACTTCGTCTTGGCGGGAGGAAGACGGCAGCTTGGTTAGCGGACAGCCGCACTTTTCCCCCCCTCAGCGTGTCGGAGCACCCGGCTGGTGATGATGCGCTGGATACAGTTGCCGAAGGACGACCTTTGAGTCCAGAAGTCCCGGCATACCTTGCCGCCGACCTGGCATTTGATCCCGGGTCCGAGCGTGAAAAAGTTTGCATGACGCCGCCGTGCATGGGTGACAGTTTTTCGAGACTTGCTCCATGGATGACCTTCACGTTGCATGAGTCAGTGTCGGACTTGGGGCTCCCGCTGCAGTGCATGACCCAGCCCTCGGGTGACATTTTTCCGTTGCCCACCGATGTGAAGGTCCTCCATGAGCTATGGAAAGACATGCCTGAGAACGTGGATCTTGTTAGGGCCCTTTGTGTAGGATTGAACTCCATGTATGGCCTCGAGCTTGAGAACCCGTTTTCCCCGACCACTCAACAGAGAAGAGTCTTGGAGTTTCTCCTTTCGCAGTCACAAGTCGTGTCCTCATGCAAAGAACGCTTCGAGGAAACCACTTGGCACGATTTCTTCAGGTTGAAGACAGTTGACTACACGGGAGAAGAGGTCCTGTGTGCACAGTACACCACCTGGGGTAACCTGGCCCCGGCCACGCCCAAAGAAATCGCTTCGGTTCCACTCGGGGAGGTGTGTGTATTGGGGTGTCGCCACTACGTAGAGAATTTTCGTTCGTACGTCCTGCCTGAGGAGCTTCAGCAGGCAACGAAGCCGCCACGGGTCCTCATCACTTCATAGGCTTGGACTGAAGTTTGTCGGGGACTGTTGGGGAACGGGGTTTGCATCCCTATGTTAGAGGAGGATATATACCATGTAGATGGCCAACCACTTCTGAACGGACTCTTTGGAGTCCCCAAAGGGGAAGAAGAACAAGGCATTCCTATCCACCGCCTCATCATGGATCTCCGACCGTGCAACAAAGTGGTGAGGGGTATTGAAGGAGACGTAGCCACGCTACCCACTTGGGCGACGATGGCACCACTGCAGTTGATGCCCAGTGAGGATCTGGTGATCTCTTCAGAGGATGTGAGGTGTTTCTTTTATATTTTTAAGATACCTCGTGAATGGTCCGCCTTCTTGGCCTTCAACCGACCTATCCCTCCAGAACTTTGTCCGGGCGATCAAGGGGTCTACTATTTAGCGTCCCAGGTCCTTCCCATGGGGTTCAAGAACAGTGTCAGTCTGGCACAACATGTGCACCGGGTGATGGTGCGTCGAGCCAGTGAAACGGTTGAGGAAGGACTGAAATCACACCAGGAGATTCGGAAGGACCGTCCGTTCACAGTACACCGGGAGTTGCACCGGGTGTACCTGGACAACTTCGACTTGCTAGAAAAAGTGGATAAACGAACTACGTCACTCCTACAAGGGGAGTTGAGCGAGAGTACGCTGGCTTTACGCCATGAGTACGAGAAATGGGGAGTCCCTCGCCATCCAAAGAAGTCCACGATCCGAGCAAGCCAAGCTGAAGTTCAAGGAGCCATTGTAGATGGAGTGGCAGGTCGAGCTTATCCAAAGCCGGTCAAGATCCTCAAGTATGCCCAGCTCGCCAGTCTCCTAGTGGGGGAGAAAAGGTGTTCGATGAAGCAAGCTCAGGTGGTGGCCGGAGGTCTTGTCTATATGAGCATGTTCCGCCGGCCGTTTTTGGGATCGCTCAACGCGTTGTGGAAGTTCATCGAGTCCTTCAAAGGATATTCGTGGGTCTGATTCCCCTGGCTCAGATGGACTTCAGGCTCAACATCAGCCCGGAAGTCACGGCCAGTGACGCCTCAACCACGGGTGGAGGATTGGCCGTTAGTGCAGGGCTCACGGGGTTCGGTCAAGCGGCGGCTTCAGCATCCATCCGAGGAGATCTACCTGAGCCGTCGGATGTCTGTGCAGTTCTCACGGTAGGGTTGTTCGATGGCATAGGAGCTCTACGAGTAGCAGCCGACGCATGCCAATTGCCCGTTCTTGGGCATATCAGTGTGGAGGTTAAGAAGGAAGCCAGTCGAACCCTTGAGAGCAAGTTCCCCTCTACCGTGTTCATTGAGGACGGTGTGGAAGCAGTCGATGATGAGATGGTCAGGAACTGGTCTAACTGGTCGTGCCGATTCTCTCAGGCCGCGGTGGTGATCCTAGGAGCTGGGCCTCCTTGTCAAGGAGTTAGTGGACTCAGTAGTGAAAGGAGAGGCGCCTTGAGAGACCACCGAAGCTCCTTATTCAGCCATGTACGACGGATCAAAGAGCTCCTGAATGAAGCACTTCATCTGGGCCCAGGTGAGGTATCTCACGGAGAATGTCGCCTCAATGGACGAATCAGATCGCTCCGTTATGACAGAGGACTTTGGGGGCCATCCTTCCATGATTGACGCGGCCGGTGTCTCTTTAGCTCGACGACCCAGGCTGTATTGGTTTGACTGGGACCTCCTACCAGGGGAGGGCGTGCGCATTTGGCCTTGGACAGGCAGAGGAGCCAGTGTTTTCCGTGAGGTGGAGCTGACAGCTGAAGTAGACCCGAAGGACTATCTTCAACCAGGGAGCACTAAGGCTAGCCAGGAACTGTTTCCTACATTCACGACATCTAGGCCCAGGAGCCACCCAGGCAGAAGGCCAGCCGGCCTGGAGAGACTGTCAGTAGAGGAGCGCCAAGACTGGGAGGGGTGCCTACACGTTTCCGCCTTACCAATATCAGAGGAAGTTGTCGATCATCGATTCAAATGGGCAATACCGGCTTCCCAAGGATTCCACCCTCCAATGCATGAGCAAGCAGTTCCATGGGCAGCCTCAGCACGAAGATGAACGAAGAAGCCTCATTGGCAATTCATGGAATGTCACAGTGGTCACTTGGTTGCTGGCCCAGTTGGGGCATCAACTGGGTCTATGCCCTCTTCTCACTCCTCAGCAAGCAGTCCATGCCACAGCCCCTGGTCGATCAGGAGCTCTTGGCGGTCTCCTACAACGTCAAGCCATGAGGAAGATACCCAAAGGACCAGCCCAAGCGGAGTATGACCTAGTGTCCAAACTCCTAAATCTGGTCAGCCTCAAAGGAGAAGATATCATGGTTCAGGCGCCCACAGAGGAGACGCTACGCTACCATTACCCACTCACCAGTTCTCATCTTCCCACTCCCCAGCTACTCTGCGTACTAAATTTGTACTACCAAGTCGCCAGCTCTCATCTTCCAGCTCCCCGGCTACTCCTCGTACTAAAGTTGTACTACAAAGTCGCTAGTTCTCAGCTACTACCCACTCATCAGTTCTCATCTTCCCACTCCCCAGCTACTCTGCGTACTAAAGTTGTATTACCAAGTCGCCACTTCTCATCTTCCAGCTCCACAGCTACTCCGCGTACTAAAGTTGTACTACGCAGTCGCCAGTTCTCAGCTTCCAGCTCCACAGATTGCTCCGCGTACTAAAGTTGTACTACAAAGTCACCAGTTCTCAGCTTCCAGCTCCCCAGCAGCTCCGCGTACTACAGTTGTACTACAAAGTCCCCAGTGCTCATCTCCCAGCTCCCCAGATACTCCACGCCCTCAAGTTGTACTACCCACTCGCCAGTTCCCATCTTCCCGCTCCCCAGCTACTCGACACGCACGATCTCCGCAGAGGGTTGCGCGGGCAGCCGGCAAATCGCACTCTCGCCTGCATTTCGCGCACTCGACGCGCACGATCTCCGCAGAGGGTTGCGCGGGCAGCCGGCAAATCGCACTCTCGCGTGCATTTCGCGCGCTCGAAACGCACGATCTACGCAGAGGGTTGCGCGGGCAGCCGCCAAATCGCCCTCTCGCCTGCATTTCGATCACTCGACACGCACGATCTCCGCAGAGGGTTGCGCAGGCAGCCGGTAAATCGCACTCTCGCCTGCATTTCGCGCACTCGACACGCACGATCTCCGCACTGGGATGTCCCGCGAAGATCTTATTGGTTAGAAGAGTTATAAATGGTTAGATAAGTTCCAATAAGCTAGTTATAAGCTCTAGTAAGTAGGTTATAACTTCTAGTAATGGTTTATAACCTCTCTAACCACTTCAACAAACCCTAGGTTACTAAGTGGTTAGCTGATTTGCTAACCATTTAGCTTAAGGGTTAGCTGGTAAAGCTCTCCGAGGACTGAAAAATGTGGTGTCGGTGACTTTTTGGTCACCAAGTCTCACCACAACATGTTTGAATGTTTTTGAATTGAAAAAGTTATATGTTTCAGTTGAAATATGTTGTATTTGCATATGATTTGTTTTTTGAAAAATCTACAGTGTACACATAGTAATTTTGCATTTTCATTGTTGCATTTTCATTAATTGTGGGTTCTTGCCATGTCATGTCCAAGCCTGGTGGGTTTACCCTGTAGAGAGCATGCATGTTTAGTTGTGATTTGCCATGTTCATTTGAAATTTCACACTTTCATTTTTTGACTTTTTGGTCAC